GCCTGTAGTCCCAGCTACTCGGGAGGCTGAGGCAGGAGAATGGCGTAAACCTGGGAGGTGGAGCTTGCAGTGAGCTGAGATCCGGCCACTGCACTCTAGCGTGGGTGACACAGCGAGACTCCGTCTCAAAAAAAAAAAAACAAGAAAAAGAAAAGATAGAAGTTAGCTCTTTTCTAATCTACAAATACCAGCGGGCAGTGCAGGGCTGGTCAGGAGGCTCCATGGTGTTGGGGTCCTGGGATCCTTCTGGTTACCCCACACCACCATCCTCAATATACAGCTCTGTGACCGGTGGCCCCAGGTGGCTGCCCAGGCTCCTGCCATCACGGCTGCATTCCAGCCACAGGAGGAAAGAGAAGGAGAACAACACAACCCTTCCCTTTAGAACATAACCAGTGTTTCTGCTGCACTTGTGTCATTGGCTGGGTGCAGTCACATGACCACACCAAGCTGCAAGAACCTGGGGCGGTGTGGTCCTATTCTTGGCAGCCATGTGCCTGACCAACACTGTGGGCCCCATTGTTAATGAAAGAAGAGAGGATGGTTACTGGGGGACAGTTCCATCAGGAGCCGCATGTTGCTTGTGGGATTGGGCCATTTCCAGGAAGCCTTGGAGCTGAGCCGCTAGAGGCACTAGGAGGGGCCATGGCAGGGGTGGGGGAGAGGTGCCCACCCCCCTCACAGGCTTCCTCCTGTCCTTCCTCCACAGTGAAGGCAGCAACCTCACCCCCGCCCACCACTTCCAGGACTTCCGTTTCAAGACCTATGCACCTGTCGCCTTCCGCTACTTCCGGGAGCTCTTCGGGATCCGGCCAGACGATTACTTGGTAAGCGTATTTGCTATTACGGGCTTCCTGGCTTGAAACAGAACATGTGTTGGGTCTCGGAGGGTCTGTGGGTCAGGCACTGGGGGCAGCCTCCCTGGGTTCCTGGTGTAGGGTTGTGGTGAGGTTCGGGGCCGGGGTCTCCGTGAGACTCACTGGGGAAGGGGGAGGGATCGGCCTCCAAGCTCACATCGCTGGCGGCTGCAGAACTCCGTCCTGGCTGACGTTGGCTGGGAGCCTCCTCCATTCCTTGTCATGTGGGTCTTGTCATCAAAGCGTCCACTCACCAAAGAGATGGTACAGTCTTCTGCAGCCTGGTGCCAAAGTGACCGACCCATCTTCAGACTTAGGGTTAGAACAAGGCCCTGGGACGTGGGTGCCACTGGGGACCAGCGTAGAGTCGGGCCTCCCAAGCTCTAGCCGTGGCTTTGTTGTTTTCAGTTAGAAAAGTCAAAATCTAGGCCAACCCCTTTGACCTAGCAGCCCATCATCCGGGCTCCTGACAGAGGCGTGTGGAAGGCGGCGCTCACAGCGGCGGCCCCGGAGCTCACCAGCGCCAGCACCACTTCTCAAAGCTCCGGGTGGCCTTTTCCCAAGCCTGCCGGTCATTCTGAGGACTTTGTGTCAGGGAAAACGCGAACTCCGCAGACGAGTGTGGTTGGCGTTCTGGCTGTCACGGCAGCGCGGTCCCCGGGGCCGGGAGCCTGTGGTTCTCCCATCCTGCCCTCACCCACGGTGGTCGGTTCCTTGTGCCTGTGGTGGTTGCTGACCGTGCAGGCGTTTGGTTTCTCTCAGGCTGTAGGAAGTGCCCGAGGCTGCGCTCTTCCGGGGAGAATGAGCATGTGCTGCAGCCGGGGGTACATGCGACCCCCCGAGAACTCCAGCCCTGTTCAGGTGCCCGGGAGTCACCATGCCCCTGGGCTGTGTCACCAAGGCCCAGCCTCCTGACTTCAGCGTCCCAGCGTTTGCCTGAGCTCGGCAGGGCAGTGGGGAGTGAAAAGACAGCTGGGGTTTTTGCCTAGAAATGGCCCTCGGGTGACCTGGATGCCCCCGTGTGAGGCGGCCGGGAATCGGAGGCGGCGGCCTGGCTTATAGCAGAGACGGTGCCCGCGTCTGTTAGCAGGAGTGGACGGATACAAGCCGAGCTGGGCCGTCTGGGTCTCTCCTAGAACCCGATGAGACCGCATTCCGGGGCCTCAGGCCGGGTGTGCGCCCACAGCGTCTTGGGGGCCAGCCTGGTGTTGGTGACCCCCGAATCCTCCCCAGGAGTGTGAGAATTCTCCTGGGGACCCTCAGCCTCTGTCCAGGCTGTGGTGTGCGTGTGGCCATGAGCCAGTGGCGGGAGGACAGGCCAGTGTGCGTGTTGCTGTCCACAGGGCCCCTGAACCTGAGTGGGGACAGGTGGGGCTCGGGGGGGACTGGGGGTTGCTGGTACTTCTCTGATTGGACAGCTGAGGTCACAGTCCACGCTGGTAGAAGGGGTGGCCCCAGCAAGGCCCCAGCTCAGGACAGCCAAGAAGGAGAAGGCGGAGGTTGGACGCGGGGTGGGGCTCAGCCCTGCCCAGCAGTCAGCGGAGGGTAGAGAGGAGGCCGAGGTCAGTGGCACGGCTGCCGAGAGCCCCAGCACCGACGGAGGCGGCCTTGGGGGGTTGTCCTGGCACTGCCTGGCTCAGAAACCCACTCATGGGGCCTGCTTCCCCGTGGCAGCTGAGGCCCCTGGAGGCCACAGCCCCGCAACTGCCATGAGCCGTGTGGCTTCAGAATTTCCGTCGTCGGTGGTGTTTGCACAAAGCCGAACGTGCCTTTCCGCAGTGTTTTCCGCTCTGCGGGTGAGATCAGCCTCCCCGTCCTGCCACCGTGGAGAGGGAGCAGTGATTTGTGCCTCGGGGGGACACTCCAGCTGCGTGGGGCGTCCCCTGCTGCAGGTGACCTGAGGACAGTGGCCCAGGGCTTGGCGGGGTGCCCTGGCCTCCCAGGGAGGGCACCAGCCCCAGGAGAGACCCGCCCTCGCTCTGCACTGCTGCGTCTGTATCGGGGAGGCTGGAGGGCGTCCTGCTGCGGCGGGAAGGGTGGAGGAACCACGTGGGCTTTGTGTTTCCCGTGGATATTTGTGGCTCATGGCTGTGGGCGGAGAAAGGCAGGCAGATGGCCGGGCTGGGTGACAGCAGTGGCCTGGACAGATCTCCCTCCAGCCTCTGAGTCCACCCCACACGGCTCTCTCACCCTGCACCGTCACTCCCAGCCAGGCCATGGCAGAAGCAGCGCGTGCAGGAGGAAGGACGCTCGCTGTTCTGAGCTGCCGAGGTTGGCAGGGCCGTTGCTGACTCCACAGAATCCAGCCTGTGTTGACCGACGTGTGATAACTGATGGCGCCGTTCCCTGGCCCGAGACCACCTCGGGCAGTGGAGGGCGGGGGTGGTGACTTGAGCCCAAGGAGGGACGGGGGCATTCCCAGGCCCTGGGCCTGAAGTGACTTCATGTTTCCGGCGTCCTCTGGCCCCCAAGCACATTCACACCTCAGAGCATGTGTGGCGTTGGGGACCCAACTCACACCTCAAGCCTCTGGCTCTTGAGCATTTTCCAAAGGTGGTTCCCCTCACTTGTTGGGGTTTTTTTGAAACAGAGTCTTTCTTACTCTGTTGCCCAAGTTGGAGGGCAGTGGTGCTGTCCCAGCTCACAGCAGCCTCGACCTCCTGAGCTCAGGTGATCCTCCCACCTCAGCCTCCCAAGTAGCTGGGACTACAGATGTGCGCCACCATGCCTATGTTTTGTTTTGTTTTGTTTTGTTTTTTGGTGCAGATGAGGCCTCGCTCTGTTGCCCAGGCTGGTCTTGAACTCCTGGGCTCAAACGATCCTCAGCCTCCCAAGGTGCTGGGATTGCAAAGTGCTGGATGAGCCGCTGTGCCTGGCCTCCCCTCGCTTCTACTTGCCACCACTCCTGACTCTGGGGACACCCCCCACCTGCTTAGCACAGCAGCTTTCTTCCCAGCGGGGCAGGCGGCACTCAGCACTCAGAGACCACCCTTCTGTTGTCCGGCAGATATGGACCCAGCGTTAACCCTGGGCGGGCCTGCCTCACTCCGCTGATAGGGAGCTGGCTCTGACCTCATCTGCGACCAGTTAGGATTTTGCAGGGCGTGACCCAGATGGCCTTAACCACACGCACACTTCATTGGTTCCATACCCAGAAGACGCAGGATAGCACCCGTGGGTCTCATCTTCACTCTCGTCCTTAACAAATAGAGCACCTGGCCTGTAATCCCAGCACTTTGGGAGGCCGAGACGGGCGGATCACGAGGTCAGGAGATCGAGACCATCCTGGCTAACACGGTGAAACCCCGTCTCTACTAAAAATACAAAAACCTAGCCGGGCGAGGTGGCAGGCGCCTGTAGTCCCAGCTACTCGAGAGGCTGAGGCAGGAGAATGGTGTAAACCCGGGAGGCGGAGCTTGCAGTGAGCTGAGATCCGGCCACTGTACTCCAGCCTGGGCAGCAGAGCGAGACTCCGTCTCAAAAAAAAAAAAAACAAAAAAAAAAAACAAATAGAGCACCTGTCGTGTGTCAGTGACGCAAAAAACTTTCGCCTCCACGGACCTACTGCCGAATGTCTAGGAGAGGGCGTGGCGGCAGAGAGAGAGTGAGCACATCATGAAACAAACAGCAGGGGCTGAGAAAAAGGGGCAGAGAGGTGGGGAGGAAGGGCTTGGACTGGGGTGCCAGGGGCCAGAGTGGGGCCTGCCCATCAGAGATGCAGCTTCCATCCCAGAGGTTATCTTCTGGTCCAGTGTGGCTGCTGAGGTTCCGGCCATCACATCAGCATCTCAGGAGAGAACTAGGTGGGAAGGAGAGAAGGGCAAATATGCAGGTACCCAGCTGCCTGTCGCCCATCTGGGAAGCCTTCCCTGAGTTCCACCCCACAGCTTCTGCTTGTGACTCATGGGGGAGAGCTGGCGTTGTGGCCACACCCAGCTGCAGGGTGCTGGGAGCACCTCTTAGCCATGCACGTCAGCACCCCCGTACGATCCGGTGTCTGCTCCTAACGAGAGCGGGAGGCAGCCTGGGGAGTGCGTCCTAGCAGGCCAGCCCTCGGGCTGCAGAGTCAGCTCAGTCTCAGGCTCCAGTCCTTGCTGGCTGGCCTCAGGCAAGTCGCTCCCCCTCTCTGAGCCTCTCTTTCCGCATCTGTAAAACGCAGCGACACGTCGTCAGGTCCTGGGGCTGTTGGGCAGACGGAAGCCAGTGCCATCTGTGTGTCCAGCAGCTCGGGGCCCGCTGACCCGCCTCCTCTGCTTCCAGTATTCCCTGTGCAACGAGCCGCTGATCGAGCTGTCCAACCCGGGTGCCAGCGGCTCCCTCTTCTACGTCACCAGTGACGACGAGTTCATCATCAAGACTGTCATGCACAAGGAGGCCGAGTTCCTGCAGAAGCTGCTCCCCGGCTACTACATGGTGCGTGGCCCGCCCTGCGGGGTGGACGGCTCCTCCATCAGCCCCCTTCTCCCGGCCGACAGGAGCAGGTGTCTGCAAGGCTTGGGCAAGCAGGTGTCCTTGGGGCGCAGCGAGAGGCATCTTGGGCCCCAGGGACTCACCCTCGGGGGTCCCCCGTCAGGCTTCACCAGCACTAGTCACCAGTGTTCAGGAGCTGCCCTCTCTTCCTCCTGTGGCCACACGCCCTGAGGGCCGTCCCCGGGCAGGGCTGGGTGGGCATCGGCTCCTGCCTGGCTCCCCATCCCCACTTGGCCAACACACCCTATGAACCGTGGGCCCCAGAAGCGGCGGCCCGTGGACAGTGTCTCTCAGCTGCCACGGAGGCCCAAGCAGCCCAAGGGTGCCTCAGAGGGATCCAGAGAGGAGGGGACGGGCCACCGGCTGGCACCCCACAAAAGACCAGCTGCTCGGGCAGGCGTGAGGCAGCTCCATCCGGCCCCCCCCTCACCCCGCGTGACTCACAGAAAGGGCGCGTCAGGCCCCCGGGAGCGGGAGGAGGAGCCGGCGGCTGCGGCTGTGTTCCCTGGTCTGGGATTCCGGTACTCGCCCAGATGAGGTGGGCGCCTCCTATGTGGCCGGGCCTGAGCTGCTGCCCGGCTCTGGGCAGCGCCGTGCAACCTGTGACTCAGTTTCTCCTTTGAGCCCTCCTGCATCCACTCTCTGTGATGCTTAGTGAGGGGCCCGGGCTCCCTCGATCAGGCTCAGCAAACTCAATCTTTAAAGGCCCAGAGAGTGAGTGTTTTTGGCTCTGCGAGCCAGTGTCCT